GGGTGCCCCCGCCCCCGCGGCCGGGTTGGCACCCCGGCTGCTCCGGGCCGAGCCGCGCTGCCAGCGGGTTCAGCTGAGGTGAAGGAGGGATCGGGCTGCAGCTTGATCCCTGCCTGGTCCTGAGCCCGGCTGCCGTGCAGGGACCCCGCGGCAGCCCGCGGGGCTACCGGGCTCCCCCCACGGCCCTTCCGCGGCCGTGCCGCTGCCCCATCAGCTGGCCGGGCAGTAGGTGCAGCCGCGGGCCCCTTGTCTGCCCCGGAGGGCTGTCAGCCGGGGCCATGGCCCAGGGCAGCACGAGCCCCTTGCAGGCATGCCTGCCCCGTCTGACCTCCATGTCTGTGCAGCCGACTTTAGTTTGGGTGGTAAAACTAAGCTTAGGAGGATGCAGAGCTCCACACTGCGTGCACGGGTGTCAGCTCAGGCCTGGAAGCAGTAAAAATACCCTGCAGCGAAGCAAAGAGTCACCATCACCATCACATAAACACAGCAGGCACATCCACGCTGATCAGCATCAATGTGCTGGGCCACAGACCTTTGCTGTGAGCTCTGCAGGGTGGCAGAGACAGAGGAGCAGGAGCGCTGACTCAACAGAGCTGATGGGTGTTTAAGATTGCCATATTTTGCAACTGTTTTTGTTGTTTAGAAAATCTTTTTTCTGTTTGCTATAACTGCAAGCTTCTGCCAGATCTGTGATGCATCTGATGGTAGGGAAACGGTTCCAAATGCTGCTTGTAGACAAAATTTATGTGGGGCCTTTCTCCTGTCTTTGTGGTTCTAGATTGCCAGTAAGATAAGGACCTTTCCTCAACAGCAAGTCTCATCCTATAGAGACATTAATATGTGAACCCTTCCCTTGTGATGGCTGTTAAATCTCAAGTGGGAAAACAGAGGTCCTTTGATTTGCCTACGGTGCTGTGGCATGCTTGCTACAAGTGAGATACTGGGAGTTGCCTGCACGTGATTTTGCGCCACTAGCTTGATCATATGCTTTGGATAATTCTCCCAGATTAGTGCCATGTGGATGTCAGGCAAAGTCCTTTGAGAGAGCTTGGTCAGGGCTGTTACTGTGCACCTGGTTGCTTTTGCTTCACTTGGCAAAAATCAGCAGCAAAGACCTATTGACATGGCCCACTATGTTGGTACACAAGAGATTTAAGACTCCCAGTTCCTCTTGGCAGCAGAAGGCCTGTGCTCCTTTCTCATATATCCTGCCAGCTGGAGAGGTCCCAGGTGGTAAAAGCAGACTTTCTCCCAAAGGATTTTGCTTGATGGGCAACTCTGTGTAAACAGTAGAAGATAAGTTCAAAGTCTTCTTGGATGACCTAAACCCACAGAGCTCATGATAAGGACAAAGTGTGCACTAGCTTGTGCAACCATTTCCTCCAAAACAAGCTCCAATGTTACCTAATGCTCAGACAACCTGCTGCTTCACAGTGACAATTTTAAGTTTTGGCAGGTACCTAAACAAATAATACAGATCCAAATTTTACGGTAGCTCTTCTCTACTTATCTGTAATGACTGCCTAATTTTAAAGGCATAGGGTGAAACACTTTTGGGAGCTAAGTGGAGTTGGGCATCCCAGGCCCACTTGTACCACTGACTTGCAGTGCTGTTTTCCTTTCTGTGAAGCCAAGCAAGCACAGCTGATCATGTTGCAAGGCAGGGAGAAGGGGATGGTCTCTGCTGACCTTGTTTCCAAGCAGCTGCAATTGGTAAGGAAAGGAACATGAACGGTGTATCTGGTAAAGGAAAGAGCCAAGTATGGGCAGTGGTATTGGCACAGGGGACGGTTTTCTGTGGAAATGGTGTGTCTTGTGGAAGAAGACTAATGCTTAGAAATGCAACTGCCTGATGCCAGCAAAGACAAAACAAAGGATGGTATTTGTGGGGATGGCCTGATCAAAGGGGATTCTTCACTTTTTTTTCTGACATAGGAATCGTTTGTGCATTCTTGTATACCTGCCCTATTAGCTTGCTCTCCTGCCTACGCTGTAAAGAAGCACTGTGTTTTGGGAATAGAATGGAAACTCTGAAGATGGATGGAGTCCAAGAAGCAGCTGCTGCTGTAGAAAAAAAAAAATATCTGCTGGCATGTCCAGCCCAAGGCCACAAGATCAAAGAGGCCCTCACCTCATGCACGTGGGTATCATGGCTTGCTAAGTTGTAGTCAGGGCAAAAGTGACGTTGACCTGACTCTTCTGAGCGCCAGATTTGACCCAGCAGGCACAGAAGAGCTGCATCAAAGTGGCATGAAGCCATCTGCTGTGTTATTTCTCTCAGCACTATCTAAACACATGCTTTTTATTGTGTTTTCACCAGATCCCCCACTACAGTTTATAGCGAGGGCTGGCAAAAGGGACTGCTAGATGATGATTAATGTTTAATCTTGCTGAGATCTGCGTCCCGTCTTGTACCCACTGTGCTCCTTCTGTTCCCCTCCTCCAGAGAGCTCACCATGGTCAATGAGACCCAGCATACCTGCAGTGCCAGTTCCAGTTCCAAGTCTGATGGTGGCAGCAGTAGTGGGAGCGAGAGCTCCAAGGACAGCTCACGCTGCTCCACCCCTGTCCTCGATGCTGACCGTCATGAGCGACTGCGGGAGAAGATGCGCCGACGGCAGGACTCTGGAGACAAGTGGTTCTCCTTGGAGTTCTTCCCTCCACGCACAGCCAATGCTGCTGTCAATCTCATCTCCAGGTGAGGGCTACAGGGTGGGAGAGGGGAGAGATGAAGTGTCTTTGGTGGAGGGCTGGGAAATAGCTAATGAGGCAGGCTCTGCCCCATGCTCTGTCTCCCCTTCCAGCTGAGGAGGGTAATGGACACCAGGTAACTTGTCTTCCTTGGAGGGCCTGAAGAGTTAAGTGTCATAGTGGGGTTACTGAGGGGGTCAGACTGTTTCCCCTCTCCCATGCTCTGTGAAGATGGAGCAACCCCACTGTCATGCTCTGGGGCTGAGGCAGAGTGCTGGGGGACAATAGACCAGAAAAGTACCTATTAAAAGCAGAAAATATTACTTGATAGTGTGCCAAAGTCAGTGGAACAGAGACTCCCACTTGCTTTCAGAATCATCCAGCCACTATGGTTTGTACCTCTGTATTACTGAGGATTACAGTTTTAGCCTCTGAGACAGGTGTCCCCACCTACATGCTAAATGAAAGGTGATAGTTCTCAGCAGAGCTAAAAGTTATCCTGGAGCCCAGTGGGGAGCCCCAGGAGCCACCATGTACTCACCTAGAGGAGAAGAGGGAGTTTCATAACTCTTTTTGTAACTGCTGTATGCCAGTGCCAGGCTTACTTTATACAGAAGGGCCTGTTCCAACCCAGAGCAGGAGAGAGACAAATTAGGGGAGCCATTGTCTCTGTTAGGCACACTTGGGAACACAACAGAGATCTGGTCCATCTTTTCATATTTGTGGCCTCTACAATTAAAGCTGGGAACAGGGGGTTGCAGCATAGTCTCCCATCTCAAAAGGAATGGGACTTGCATTGCTGTCTATCAGAAGACGTATCAGTCTAATAGAGCATGCTGGGAGGAAGTTTATTCTACAGAGAACACTTAAGTTGCCTTTTCTTCAAAGAGATTGTAAGCTCTTCCTCATACAGCCTTAAAGAATGACTTTCCTTATTTACATTGGCTACTTGCTAAACTCCTAGTTCAACACTTTTCTTGGTCTCTCCTGCTGCTGTCATCCAAGCTCTCTCTGCCTGTTGCTGGCATTCCAGCAGTGAGCAAGATATCCCAGGCATAGAGAGGGGAGTAGGCTAACGCAGCTCTAAAATCCACAGGTTTGACCGCATGGGAGCAGGCGGTCCACTCTTCATTGATGTGACGTGGCACCCTGCAGGGGACCCAGGATCTGACAAGGAAACCTCTTCCATGATAATTGCCAACACTGCAGTCAACTACTGTGGCCTGGAGACCATCCTGCACATGACATGCTGCAATCAGACCAAGGATGACATCACAGGGCATTTGCAGAAGGCCAAGCGGCTCGGGTTGAAGAACATCATGGCATTGCGTGGAGGTGAACCCTTTTGTCCTATCGATGTGTAGGGCTGAGGCTGTATTGCTATTGTGTTCAATTCCAGGGTAAAAATGGAGAAATAAGATTTAGAGGCTCCTTCCACTGCAGGAATCAGATGTTGAGACTGCATTTCACTAGATCTCTGTTAGCAGTCCCTCCAACTCAAGGGTAGACAAAAGCAGTCCATGGGTAAAACTGCAAACTTAGGGGTTTCATCTTTGTCTTCCTTTTGATAGCAGGAGGTTTTTACAGAACTAGCAGATCTGAGTCCAGCAAACAGTTGGAGAGAGCTGTGGATTTGTTCTCTTTTCAGATCCTGTCGGTGAAGAATGGGAGGAAGAAGTAGATGGTTTCAACTATGCTGTTGACCTGGTTAAGCACATTCGCAATGAATTTGATGATTACTTTGACATCTGCGTGGCAGGTAAATGTCTTTCATTGCAGAGTGTGGGGTAAGGTCTGCGATAGGGAAATCACCTCAGCAGTCCC